AAATTGATCAAGGAAATTTGCAAAATCGTAAATACTGAGAAAGTTTTTACCACAGCGTATCACCCGGAAACCGATGGACTCGTTGAGCGTTTCAACCATACCTTGACCACCATGTTGTCGATGTATGTGAGCGGGCACCAGCGTGATTGGGACACGTTTCTTCCATATGTCATGTTCGCGTATAGAACAAGTATGCACGAGAGCACGCAGGAGACTCCGTTCTTACTTATGCACGGACGCGAGCCAGTGCTACCAGTTGAAGCCGCATTGGACACACCTGTACTGCGATACGACACTGCCGACAACTACAAGAGTGATATGACGGCTCGATTGCAGGAAGCTTTTACTCTTGTAAAGCAAAACCTACAAACTGCCCAACAAAAACAAAAGGCATATCATGACCAACAGACTAATGACATAAGTTTTAATATTGGAGACAAAGTGTGGCTGTTTTCACCCGAGACCAAACCAGGTCTGTCGAAGAAACTGGCTCATCATTGGCATGGGCCTTTTGAGGTAATTGAAATCACATCGTCAGTGAATTACAGGATAGCCACATGTGATGAGAAAAGAAAAACTCAAATAGTGCATGTAAATAGACTTAAACATTTTGTTGAACCAGAAAACATCTTTAGTGGCGAAAAGAGGATTGGTGTTAACATTGAAACTGTTAATATGGATATTGTGAAAATACTAGATGTTATGTGGAGTCGAAACCAGTCAGGTCGACTAGAGAAACACTATTTCGTGCAATTCACAAACAATGACACGAACTGGATTAAGGCTTCAGACATTACAGATGCCAAATTATCTGAGGATTTTGAGAACTCTAATGCAACTAAACGCAAGTCAAAGCGTTAGACAAGTGCATTATTATGTCCAACTACATTGAAAATGAACTATGAACTGTGTGTACAGTGGATTAAACCGGGATTACTCTGTTATAAGGAAATTAGGTGAAATCGTTGCAAATGTGTCATTATTCTGACTGGTGTATTGTTGTATATATATAATTATATATGTGCATGTGTATGAGTTTGCCGGGGCGTCACACTTAAGGGGGGTGGTTTGTGAAAAAGTGTTATCTTTGAGAGTAGGAGGAGAGTCGAGTGGGCCATTAGTGGTCAGAGTGGTCAGTGGTTCTAATTAATGAGTTGTGTCAACCACAGCTGTACATATCAGTGAGTGTCTGCAGAGGGTCTGTAGTTGTTTATTTGTTTACGATTAGGCGTGCGATATAAATGTAGAGACATATTACTTGGTTCGGGAGATCTTATTAAGTTGTCAATTAAAGTTCGGACCGTTAGGGAGAATGTTGATTGAGAATGACCGGTGTCATGAGAACAAAGGGTGGTGTGTGTTACAGTGGAGATAGGGCAGGTTGTGTGGTGTGATAGAGTCAGTTGAGTGTTGTGTGGGGCACGAGAGAGGACGTAACTCTGAGAGAAAGAAACTACTGGACATGGGTTGTGTAAATACGTGTACTATTAAAATATCTATTGAACATGTGTGTAAATAAACTGTAAATAGTGAACAGTGCATTGTTTCATTATTAAGACAACAAAAGTCAAACCAGTGGCTCCGTCACAATATGTGGTGGAACTTATTCAAAGAATGGATCAAATGGGCAGTCGTTTTCCCCGCAGTTGTGGTAGCAGAGTGGCTGGAAATGTAAAAAAAACAAATAAGGTGTGGCCAATATACAAAACCTTTTTTTTTTTTTTTTTTTTTTTTTTTTTACAGATTATGGGTATTGGATATACTTAACAAATCAAGTCCTGGAATAAATTCTTCTTTAGTCAAACATCACATCTGATAGCATTACAAGAAACGATCACATTAAAACATTTATAGTTCATGATCATGTAAAATATGTCTGTAAAATGGCACAATTTCATATTTATCACAGATTGTCTGAAATTCAGTGGGTTTTTTTTTATACACGTTGGTCTCATAATCACCTCTTCCATAAGCAGAACACTATTGAATCCATGTACATTGCATGACAGCATATCTCTAGATGACTTCCATTGGTTCCAGGACACGGAAAAGGGTTATGAATTGGGTGTGGTCATGTCTTCTCCAGTGTTATAACCATCTTTTATAAACACCAAAAAAGTGGGTTTGCCAGTTTAATTGCGACCAGTGGAACATCGTCCTCATCCAGAATCTTCAGTTGGTTCAATATTACTTTCCTCAGAGAGTAGTTTGGTGAACAGAAATCTCTAAATGGTCCGTGTTTCTACTACTCAGATGTTTCCCTCAGTAGATCTCGCCAACTCCTATTTGTTTTTCAAAGTTCGACAGTATGTGTCGTAACTTCGAGGTTTTAACGTCACTGTCTGCATCATTTCCCGATCAATTGCAGACACCGATGTTTGGAGGAAACAAATCAGTTTAACACGATCTTGATGGATGACTCGGATCATTGTCAATAAATAAAAGAATGTTCATTTTCTCTCTTTTCATTCTTCTGTCTATACTTTTTTTAACCATTCTGTCATAGAAAGGGACTTTAACTAAGCTTTTTGTGTTTGCCCGTAAGGTTACAATTAATGAAGATGCCTTGATCTACATTAAAGCTTCACTTTTATAAACTCATCTTTAATATGATAGGAATAAGTTAAAGTGTCTCTAAAAAACGGTCGTGGTTTTACCTATCACATAAATGTGGTAATTTGTGATTACCCCGAGTCTGTTGCATCAATATTTACGTCACCTCGTTCATCGGTCATTCTTTTAACGTGAAATTGTGTCTTTTAATAAAAGCCACGAGCAAGCATCTTTCTGCATTCCCGGTTATCAGTCTCCGTCGTTTTTGTTTTTGTCTGGGGTTGCCTTGGTTTCCGGTTTAAAAATATGGTTGCTGAATCGGGAGTAATCTACGTTCAGGATCACGAAATGGTGGTTGCTAGTAGAGAAAGGTTTGATTTAATTTTGTTTAACGTCCTAACGTAAGGTCATTTAAGGACGTGCCTCCAAGTGACGTATATGCGTGCTTGCGCGTGTGTATGCAGAAGACGGGGTTTTTTGGTGTGATTGCCTCCTTGAGATAGCGCGGATCTGATGCGGACTTTATAGCGCTAATTCACTGAAATACCATGGCCAAAGGCACCCAGCACAGCATTCAGCCCGGTCACATTATACTTACAACGGGTGGACCAGTTGTTGCCATTCCCCTTAGTGCTGAACGTTAATCAGGGAATGATAGCTACCATTCTTACAGACTTTCGTATGTCCCAGCCTTGAGGCAGAACCCATTGCCTTCCTCACCTGGGCGAACGCTCAACATTCAAGCCAAAAGTGATGTGTTGCGCTAGGAATTAAAAGGAAGTTAGAAGTAGAAAGAAAGATAAAGATCCCAAATATTGTAATGGGTGCAGCAGATTTAATGGGTGCAGCAGATTTATTGTGGTCGCTTTTGTGTCCCCACCAAAGCAAATACCCAATTATGCAGGTGGTTCGCTCATTACTCGCCTCCTACGATACATGCAGCGAGTAACAGCAAATGTATTCTTTTCCCGATCCCGATTTTGAGAGTGTCGAACAGCTAGGAGCTTCCGGTGGTGTACACCTGAAACGTTGATTAAAAGGTAGCCATTTTGGAATACGAAGGCGTTTAAAAACTATTCGTTGCTGTGACAAGCCTAATCTTTTCCTTGTTTAAAGAAAATATTTTTCGTAATGCCTTCTTTTGAAATACATATAAATAAGTGTTTTTTAAAAATCAATTCGACAATTCGCGCTTTTAAAGTTGGGATTAAAGGAACACACTTCAACTTTACTTTGTGAATTGTAAATAAAAGATAAAAAAATAAAGATCATTTTAATAAATCGATATTGATGTCGCAGTTCCTGAGTAATTAAAACAAACATTATTTTATTTATTCCGGTACATGATATCTGGTATATCAACGTTAGTGTTACATATATTACACATGCTTTCGATGAAAAGGGGAGAAGGGGGAAGATAAAGAATCTATGTGTTGTCGTATTGACTTCAAAATCCGGTTATCATATTGACTTCAAGTACGGTAACTGTGTGACCATATAGAAATTATTTAAAATTTCAGTTATTAAGACATTAATACATTTCACCAATTTGTCCTTTATTGTGACGGTGATAATCTCGTCATTTCACAATTCAGCACAATTATACTCATATATACAATGAATATTCGCAAAAATAATCATTGCTAAGGATATTTATAACGCTGCGATAATAAACCTGTCATAACATTTAACACCGTGACGATTCCATACTTTGACGATGATACATTGTAACCGCATTATCTTCATTCATTATCACGATTATCATATATACTATAGCGATGCTTACACCGTCCTAGTACTTCACAACACGACGATCCCATACCGTGGCAGTGTTTATACCACGTTATATAAAATGTAACAAACCGCCAACAAAGCCTTTAGTTCAACACAACCACTATACGATAGTGTACTGTAATGATGCTTATAACACGACACCATCACGACCATTCAATACTGTATCAGAGCTTATAAACCTAACAACCACTACGATCCTATACAGTGTTATCGTCATTCAACGCTACGATATTTTGATCTCATGATGCTAGGTAGCCTCGCTGTACACGGCTACCAGTACCTATGTGTTTATAAAGAATTTCCGAGCTGCATTTTACTACTAGCTTATCTCCACCTAGTTTAGAACTCTAGAATCAAATATCCAAGTTATCGAAATAAATAGCGATTGTTTTTCTTCATAAATTAAATATTCGAGAAACGGGGATGGAGGCAGTCTAGTTTCGGTGTAAAACTTCCCCGCCACGATAATCTCATTCTGTGGGGGTGTTAAAGCGCTGTGAAGATCCTAACCTCGTTGAGTTTATTCCACTCCGACACTGTACTACGCTGTGGTAATGCTTACCTCACGATGTATCACTTCATCATATACGCAGTTTCTGTACTAACTCACCACGACACTGGTCCTATGCTGTGACAAGGCGAGGTAAGGTTTACGTATCTCGTGACTCTGAATGTATCACAAGTCCTTAACACGTATACAATATCGTCATCTTACCATTTGAAATGATGCATTTCGTTGCTGCATTTTCTTAAATATCGCATATTGGATATTGACTAAATACGAAAAAGCGTCAGCGGTATAAAGAGAAATAAAACAATAACATAAATATAGACCATGATATAGGGTAAGGTGAATATAGTTAGTCCCATGTATTAAGCTGACAATGAGAAACTATTATAGCGGAAGTAAATGTGTAACTGAACCTTTGGATATTGTATGTGTGGCTGATAAGTTTGTGCGTTATTGATAAATCTCTTGTGAAGATCAGCTGATTCGAGATCACCACAACACAAAGGTACGTGATTTCAACTCTCGAGCGTGCTTTAGCTTTCCGTTTTACTTTGAATTTACTTTTGTACATGTTATTTTGATGTAAATAGAAGTGTTAGTATTAAGATTATTACGTAAACATGCATGTGAATACGTTATGTTAAGGGTGTCGAATAATATTTAAAACAAATTACTTGTCTTACTTCCTGCCATCTTGACAATGGATTTTCATAAAATATCCTTAAGGAGACAAACATACATTTGCATTTTCCGGGTGTATATACCAATTNCCCCCCCGTTTAGAAATCTTGTTTATTACTTCAATGTATCTTGTTTATTACATTATAGGATTATAGGATTACGTAACATTTATTTCGATTTCACCTTACAGGACGTAAATAAACCATGGGTATAGGTGAAGGTCACGGAGAAGGAAAAGGTCAAGGTGGAGCTGGTCTTCTGAACGCCATCTTGTGGTTTTTCATCTTAGTTTTGCTCGCTTGGCCAATTGCATTCTTCGTCTCATGGCTGTATGTCCTGCTTCTTCCATTTGGAGCATGTATCAAAGTTTGTCATGACGCCTGTGATTCGCTTCTTAAAATCGTCAGACTGCCATTTTCGTGTGCAGAAAACATGATTCACATGAATTCTGTATGCTGATTAGAAAATTGTCCAATGCAGCCTGCCCGAACATTGAAGTAAACAAGTTTTCAAATTATATTAGTGGTATACCTAGAATTTGGCGCTGTTTCCCTTCAAACTTTTACTGATTTCCAAAGTCCATGAACATAAAGATTCCGGATGTTTTCATATTGTTTGATTGGTTAAACCATGCATGCAGCTACCAATTCCATTTACCCGTACTGACTAGAACTATGCGTGAATCGTTGCATTGAAGTACAACTGCAAAATATTTCGAAGGGTGTTAAGCTATATAAGTATACCTTCCTGATGGACCAACATGAACAAAAAATATATATTAATCGTACACAATGTAGTAAATCCTTGGATATAATTCCTTTGGGTTTTTTTCCACGCTTACTACCGAAATATTTCAACGCCCCTTTGCCTTTTTTCTCTCACACAACCTGTTTACAACCCCTCCGTGTAACGCCAGACCCCTTATAGCGCCAATATTTTTCTAGATTGTAAATTTATGTCAATAATTGGATCAGTCAACGTAATTCATAAAAGTAACTGTCCTAACATAGACAAAATAATATCAACTATGTAGAGTAAATCAAGACATAAATTTTATGTGTGACGTCACGTTGTTGCATTTTTGTCGATAATAAATTAAAGTTTAAAAATTGTCCGCGGTAATAATTTACACCAGGTACATAATGCCAACATTTTTCAAGCTTTTGGGCGTTATAAAGACGTTTTTGTATATGTCGATTGACAAATATAAAGTAAAAGAGGACACTGAAATACATTGGCGGAAAGCAAGGTGGCAAATAAATCGAAGGGCATCACATCAAGGTTTCTCTGTAGTTGTTTTTATAACAGTGTCCAACGTTTGAAGACAACAAAAATCGCTCCTGAAACAAACTAAAATATACAATATGTAAAATATTCATTTTGATTGCCACGTTGTTAGTTTGTTTTAATACATTATATATCTCTTAGTCCTGTGCATAATTAGTTTGTCTACATTAAAACCCTTTTTTATTACACGAATGTTTTGAAGTTATGTTTTATTACATTTCAGTTTTGTTTTATTACATGTACAGTTGCACCATCTGTTACCTAGATACGTTTATGCCAGTTTGACAAAACACGGCATATTGTTTATGTTGTAACTGCTGCAGGTAGCATGGAATTTTCAGAAAATATAATGGCATACGTCCATTCTCTTGTAGTATGAGCTCGTGTTTGCATCAATTTGTTTTCTAATTGTCTATTTATCATGTTGATGCCAATTTATTAGACATAACTGAAAACATTAACGAGGCTAGATAATTTTGATTTTCAATGTTTGGAAAATGTAGAGCGCACCTGCAACAACCTCGAAAATTAACATTTGGTAACGTTTTTCCGGTTCTTGTCGTATGGACGTAAAACAGCAACACGAACCAGCAACAACAAAAACAGTTCAATCAGGTTTATTATTTTTATTTTTTTCATTTTTTTTAAAAACGACGATACGGAATTATTGGGAACCACTTCACGGCAACTACGCCGGCGTCACTTGCCTGGCGTTCCCCGACGTACTCAGCGGCTCGCCAATACTCCTGCCGTTCCGCTCGTCCAAGGTCCCCTGTTTCACTGGCAATTCCGTATCAGCAAGTGTAGCGAGGTCCTTATTCCAAAATTATGATATTAATTACATTGTCGTCTTCTAAGGAGTGGGGAAAATATCGACCCTGGATCAGTTACCGCTGGTCTTATATAAGATGATATAACCTAAATAATCTAGACGTGGATACAACTATTGATGAAAAATATAAGTGAAGGGTGTGATACCATGGTTGACTACCCACAATAAAAGATTACATATCACGATTTTTAAATGACCTTACATAAAAAAATATGCATGCTAAAACAATGAACGATCAATGCTTAACGGGACGTTTTCGCCAAAAAATAAACATGCACAATGTGAGAAACCTACAGTGCTTAACAGACTATATAGCTAGCACTCGGGATAATCTGGACAGAACAATTCTTGCTCGTTCCGTTACTGGGAGTAGTGGTTGTCTCCCTTTACACGTGTGTACCCTAATTAAAAAAATGTATTTTTCTTGAAAACTGCTACTAGAAATATAAAAACCAATAACTGCATTATATTGTGATGCATCTATGAAGAAGTGCATTTTTGAGTATGTTATAATAATTTATCACTCCGTGCAAAATTGTCCTTCAAAGCAATACGTAAGCTGATCCAATTTGTGCATAAGATACGCAGTATAATACTGTTGTCGACTAAATAGTTGAATTGGGGATTTAATTTGGTGTCCTCTATTTGGGGACACAAACGCGACCACAAACTACCTTTCATTTTCTAGCGCCTTACTTGGCAACACCTCACTGTTGGCCTTTATGTTGAGCGTTCGCCCAGGCGAGGAAGGCAATAGGTTCTGTCCCCAGGCGGGACATACCAAAGTCCTTAAAAATGGTAGTTGTTATTCCTTGCTTAACATTCAGAATTAAGGGGAGTGTCAACATTCAGCATAATGTGACCGGGCGAAATGCTGTGCTTGGTGCCTTCGGCATGGTATTTCAGTGAGATAGCATTATATAGTCGGCATCAGATCCGCGCTATCAAAAGAAGGCATGCACACCAACATACCCTGAATCCTGTATATACACACGCAAGCACGCATACACTACACACATGGAGACACGTCCTTGAATGACCTTAGATGTTATTAGGACGTTGAACAAAATTAAACCAAACCAAACATTGTCAGTCCAATCGCCGTTTATGTGAAAAGTTTATCAAGCAATTCTAAAACTTTTTCGTGAGAATCATTCTGATTCCGGACATATTCCGTATGACGCTTGAAAAATGTTCAAACTGACCAACTGGTGTACCCTTATATAGCATCTGTGGATCATGTGATGGATTAATTAACCTTATCCGGACCTCGTTTGTTGCAACAGCTAACGTCCCTCCTAAAATGGCATTTCCAGTTTTTGTCCCACCCTCCAGTGGTTCTACCACATCGAATACGTCAGTTGGATTTGCGTCCTATAGGGCGGAATTAATTTCCACTTCATAAGGAGGGTGTAAGGAAATATTTTCCGCAAACTGGACACGTGAACAGCAAAATCAGCCAATCAGTTTACATGGGACAACGCTGCCATCGACACTAGTACTAATCAAATTCTGATTAACGTCAACTTTGCAATTCTGGTGGCGTGGAACATACCGTTTGATGTCAGGTCAGCAATGACTGCACTGAAACTAAGCGTTTTATTTGGTATTTCAGTGAGATAGCACTAAAAAGTCGGCACTAGATCCGCGCTATCACAAGGAGGCAAGCACACCAACATACCCTGTCTCCTGCATAAACACAAGCAAGCACGGATTCACTAAATCACATGTAGGCACGTCCTTAAATGACCTTAGCTACTATTAGGACGTTAAACAAAATCAAACCAAACAAAAGGTAGTCACACAAAATAACTCGAAAACGAAACAGGGACACTTTCGTCTTTGCATTTCCTTCCTGCGGATAGGGGTTAGAATATATCCGCTGTTTCCCACTGGTTGTGGTCAAATTCTTCTGAAAAAGTCAACCTTTTTGCCGTGGGTTGCATCCCGTGATTACTTGGTCGTTTCGACATTTAGTAAGTGGTAGTTTTCATTCGGTAACAAATTCTTTCTTACTGACCTCTTGCCTAATCGTTGTCAGTTTGTCCTTATCATTAATATAAAACTCAGACAAAGCCATTATATGCATTACCATTCAAGTATGCCGGATGTGATTGCGGAAGTAGATAGGACAAATTGTAAGGCAAGAAGTTTAGTTCAGGGACAAAAACGTTATCAAGTAATAGACATATGTGTTGAAAGACCTGTGTTGCATTTGCCTGTTATTTTGCTCGACTTTTTTAATATTCATGCCCCCTTACATACGAAGCTTACACGCTGTATATTTGTAAGGACTCAATAAGGATTCAATAGGGCCACATTTCATTGTAAGGACTCAATAAGGGTTCAATAGGGCCACATTTCATTGTAAGGACTCAATAAGGGCTCAATACGGCCACATTTCATTGAATGGTCTCAATAAGGGTTCAATACGGCCACATTTCATTGTAATGACTCAATAAGGGCTCAATAGGGCCACATTTCATTGTAAGGAATCCATAAGGGTTCAATACGGCCACATTTCATTGTAATGACTCAATAAGGGTTCAATAGGGCCAAAATTCATTGTAAGGACTCAATAAGGGTTCAATACGGCCTCATTTCATTGAATGGACTCAATAAGGGTTCAATACGGCCACATTTCATTGTAATGACTCAATAAGGGTTCAACAGGGCCACATTTCATTGTAAGGACACAATAAGGGTTCAATAGGGCCACATTTCATTGTAAAGACTCGATAAGGGTTCAATAGGGCCTCAATTCATTGTAAGGACCCAATAAGGGTTCAATAGGGCCACATTTTATTGTAAGAACTCAATAAGGGTTCAATAGGGCCAAAATTCATTGTAAGGACTCAATAAGGGTTCAATACGGCCACATTTCATTGTAATGACTCAATAAGGGTTCAACAGGGCCACATTTCATTGGAAGGACACAATAAGGGTTCAATAGGGCCACATTTTATTGTAAGAACTCAATAAGGGTTCAATAGGGCCACATCTCATTGAATGGACTCAATAAGGGTTCAATTGGGCCACACATCATTGTAAGAACTCAATAAGGGTTAAATAGGGCAACAATTCATTGTAAGGATTCAATAGGGCCATATTTCATTGTAAAGACTCGATAAGGGTTCAATAGGGCCTCAATTCATTGTAAGGACCCAATAAGTGTTCAATAGGGCCACATTTCATTGTAAAGACTCGATAAGGGTTCAATAGGGCCTCAATTCATTGTAAGGACCCAATAAGTGTTCAATAGGGCCACATTTCATTGTAAGGACTCCATAAGGGTTCAATAGGGCCACATTTCATTGTAAGAACTCAATTTCATTGTAATGACTCAATAAGGGTTCAACAGGGCCACATTTTATTGTAAGGACACAATAAGGGTTCAATAGTGCCACATTTCATTGTAAGGACTCAATAATGGTTCAATACGGCCACATTTCATTGTAATGACTCAATAAGGGTTCAACAGGGCCACATTTCATTGTAAGGACTCAATAAGGGCTCAATAGGGCCACATTTCATTGTAAGGACTCAATAAGGGCTCAATAGGGCCACATTTCATTGTAAGGTCTCAATAAGGGTTCAATACGGCCACATTTCATTGTAATGACTCAATAAGGGTTCAATAGGGCCAGATTTCATTGTAAGGACTCAATAAGGGTTCAATACGGCCCCATTTCATTGAATGGACTCAATAAGGGTTCAATTGGGCCACACATCATTGTAAGAACTCAATAAGGGTTAAATAGGGCAACAATTCATTGTAAGGATTCAATAGGGCCACAGTTCATTTTAAAGACTCGATAAGGGTTCAATAGGGCCACATTTCATCGAATGGCCTCAATAAGGGTTAAATAGGGCCACATATCATTGTAAGGACTCAATAAGGGTTCAATACTGCCTCATTTCATTGAATGGACTCAATAAGGGTTCAATTGGGCCACACATCATTGTAAGAACTCAATAAGGGTTAAATAGGGCAACAATTCATTGTAAGGATTCAATAGGGCCATATTTCATTGTAAAGACTCGATATGGGTTCAATAGGGCCACTTTTCATAGTAAGTACTCAATAAGGGTGAAATAGAGCCACAATTCATTGTAAGGATTCAATAGGGCCACATTTCATTGTAAAGACTCGATAAGGGTTCAATAGGGCCTCAATTCATTGTAAGGACCCAATCAGTGTTCAATAGGGCCACATTTCATTGTAAGAACTCAATAAGGGTTCAATAGGGCCAAATCTCATTGAATGGACTCAATAAGGGTTCAATTGGGCCACACTTCATTGTAAGAACTCAATAAGGGTTAAATAGGGCAACAATTCATTGTAAGGATTCAATA